AGCCGTGGTGTATTTTATCCTGCAAATAAAAAATTCATGCTGTTTAATCCACATTCTGGTATTATGCATGATTTAAACTTGTCATATACATGCAAAGTCATGGTTCTAAGAACATGAATTAAAAAAAGAAAAATCACTTGTGTAGCATGACCAATTTAAATTATGAATATCAGCACTTGCAGTTTACTGTCATTCTTCTACAGCTCAAATTAAATGTGATACGATGAAAATGGCTGCTCCTAGCATCAAATCACTTGTAACTAATAAAGCCTGGACTAATGTGTCACTGGGAGATTGTCCAGGCCAGAATATAGCCCCTTCAGAGAAAATGTGAATTATGATGGGTTTTGTAAGTCACCCCAAATAGCTGGGCCTGAGAAAGTAACAAATGCCTCAACTTCTGCTCCCTATCCACACATCTACTTTCTCTTCACCTTTTTCACGGAGGTGTTTAGCTTCTGTGTAAGGTAACTAGTTTCCTCACCTCCTTCAGAGCTTTACAGACAGATTAATATTCACTGAAGTTTTTCTTCTCTTATCCCATCTAGAAAACTGCAGGCTGAAGAACATGCGAAATATCATCCAACCAAAAAATGCTTCAAGTCTTTATCAGCTTCATGCTAATCTGTAAATATTTCGGAATAAATGCCAAAGCTTATATGTTACAAATTTTTTAGCTCAGTAGTGCTATAACAATGATTCTTAAATGTAAATAGTATAGGGATGACATAAATTCAGTGTTTTAATAAGGCTTTTAAGCATTTTATCAATAATCTTTGAAGCTACTAGATTAGCCATGTAATCTGTACCAGCTGAATAAACTGAAGACCAATTTAAGGAGTTTTATTCAGCCGATTTCATGCTCGTGGTTCCTATTAGATTTGCTGATTTTTTAGTCTTTTTAATATAATTGTGATGAAAATAGTCGGTGTTCTGTTTTAAGATATACAAGATGAAGGAAAGTTTTCATGACCGTCAGTGCTGTGTTCCTGGAAAATGGAGTAGTATAACTTGTCTTTTTCATTAAGACTTTTAAGTATGGAATTGTGATCCAGCAATTACTGTGTAATTGGTATGGTTTGTAACATTGATTCACTGATAAGACTCTGTTTTTTGAAAAAATGCCTGCCTCTTTCAGGGAGTACTGTTCTGAGTGCTAGGCACTTAACTAAATTGTGAAAATTTTGGCAGCAGCCGTAGAAAATCCTGCAAAATAGACTAGCAGTAGAAGGGAAGCCTGCAAAGTGGGGGAACAGGATCTTGTGCTTTGAGAGAAACCCCCTTTCAGCTAAGGGGAAGGAGGATGCAGCCACTGAGCATCATAGAAGAATTTTCCATTTATAGCGTATTAAAATCTTGTATGATTTTAAGGTGTCGTGTCCTAAAATCCCCCTTCCATCCTGCTGTCCGGTAACTTAGTGCAGCCTGAAAGAGAGAAATGACATTTCTCAACTTGCTTAGACAGAAGGAACTGAGAAGTAGTTACTGTCCTTTTGAGGCTTCACTATGAAAAGTGAGGTAAATATCTGTGATGTATAGAAGTTAGATGCTACACTTTTCAGTAGAGCCAATTTAGTCTGCATTTTAAAAGCATTCAAAATGTTCCAGGCATAAAAGTAAGATATAGTCTTAGCCCTTGAATATTTTGCAGTTGAGATTCAGATGAAAATCCTACAGATGTTTCACAGCAAACTAAATAGGAAAAGGTTTGAAAGAGGAGTTGATAAGGCTAATGCTCTTGCGAATATTAGGATATTTGCAATGTGAATGTGTTTGTAAGCATACAAATTACCAAGTTCTTCTGTAGAACAGAGGTGTTCATAAATTGGCAACAGTAATGTTTCTAAAGCGTAGTCTCTCCTTGGTTCCTTTTTTTTTTAAAGTAAATCTGTAATCTGTAACACTTCCCCCCCCCCCCCCCCCCCGAGGTAAAGTTTGTTCTGCTTTTTGATTTTAGTGCTTTAAAAAAAAGGGAGAGTATCTATTCATTTATTTAAGCACATTTCAAAGACTTTCTTGGATATTAATCAGAAATAATTCTGGGCATTTTTTCTCTTTAACTTATACCGTATGTGAGGCTAATTTATATGGATGAGCTGAGTTCACATAAAACTTGGATATGGATATGAGCAGGGTACTTTAGTCACTGTCTCTTCTGTAATTAAGGGAATTTTTTTTTTTACCAGCATGACTAACAACTCTCATCGGCTGTTTGTGTTCCCTTATATCCTCTCCCTCCAAGAAGGAAAGATGTATGCTGTATAGCGTTTTACAGTTTTGAAGAAAGAGCAACGTGTACGTTGTATAATCTAGGCACGATCTAATGTATGCATTTTTTGATGATGTTTAGTTTGTGAGAGAGAGTTCCATAATCTTATTGTCCTCTGATAAATCATTTTCCTGTGAAGAAAAAATGGTTTTATTCCTGAAAGAAAACTTCTGTTGTGACTAGGATGTGGAACCACAGTAGATGTATTAAAGCTTTAGGTGGTCTTTTGAAGTGCTGAGCCTGGTGGCTGAAGATGAAGAACTTGCCTGTGGCTTGATAGTCTGTGGGAAGTCAGTACAGAAAGTGCAGAAGCAGTTAGTTGTGCTTCTGGTGTGGTGCGCTCCTGAGGTGTGCTCTGCATCAGTTCAGTCTTCTAAAGAGCTGGTCGTGGTGTGCCCAGGTACGTTGTGTTGGTGTAGTCCAGATAGGGTGCGAACCGCAGTGCCCCAGACTTTGCTCCCTCTCTGGCTGTGTTATGGCTAGAAACAGTGGTGAAGTTTCTAACCAGAGGCAGATATTTGTATCCTAGGTTTGAAAATACAGCGTTTTTTACAAAATGAATGACAAACTCGCCTGGTAATACTCCTTTACTTTGCTAGATTTCATAAAGCTTTGGTGATCTCTATTTTGCTAAATTATATCCTTCTCAATTTTGGAAACTGCAACTGCGTAAATGAATCTCTCAAAGAATTAGTGTTGTAGTTTTTTCTAATATTTCAATCTTTTTCCCAGCATGTGACAGGATTATAGAAGGTGCCATGAAGAGAAGCTGAGCTATAGTTCACAGTGAACAAAGTACAATCTGTTAAGTGTCCTCTTATTTTGCTGTGTTACGAGTGATTTGGACAGGGAGGAACTGAGAAGCTTAGTCCTGCCAGGAAAACAAAGAATCATACCAGATTGGAAAAGGTTTATTTTTATTTTATTTCCTTACCTTAAGTAAGCTGTGATTAAGTCTTAAAAAGACTGTGATAAAACATACACTGCAAAATGTTTCTGTTGCAGGCCAAGTGATTGCATCCACTCTGTGGAGGACTAACCTCCTGCAGAAGAGACTGGCAGGGTGCACATTACCTAGCAGCTGCGCATGGGTCTAGGCTGGGCCCTGTGCGACCCTGTGGCACAGATGCAGTTACTAATTTGAGTTGACTTTGGACACTCTGAATAGGGGGGAAAAATGTGAGGGTTATACTGCGACTGCCAGGATGGCGCATTAAGAGCGTGAAGCTGCAGTTTTGTATTGTGTGCTCTGAGCAGCAGCAGGAGAACATGAAGGGATGCTTAAGACTTTAGTCTGCTTGGATAGTGCACAAGTATTACATAGGAAGGAGCGCACAATCTTACTGATGCAGCAGTCTCCCTGGTGCAGTGTTGTTATTTCTCCTTTTTGGAACAGCTTATTGCAGTGAACTATCTCCAGAACCATGCATGGAGTTGGTTTTATAGGAAATTAGTTGGCTTACTCTAAAAGAGAGCTCAGGAATGACTAGCATGTACGCAATGAATAATCAAGAGAACAAATTATTGGAAAGAATTAGGAGCCAAGTTATTACTTGACAGTGCAATTGGCTTATTACTGTCTGCTGATATTTTTAAATGTCCAGAGGTTCATTTTGTAAAGATATTTCTGAGGCTTGCTTAGGTCCCAAGTTCTGAATGTTGGTGGTTAATGAAGAATTATTTAATTCAGTTATAGTATCTGCTTTGCAAGGCAGTCTGTGACTCAGTTGTTCTACTTGCTATAGCTAGTATTACTTGGATTTTAAGATTTGACTCTCCTTGAAGGTTGCTTCAACAGAAGGGAAAGATCAGATGGTGTAAGAGGTTTCTTGGCACAAGATTATAGCAGTTCCTGGGTTTTATGTTTGTCTCTGAGGACTTGTCTTAAAGGAGCTGCATGTGCCATTTACCAAGATAAGACAATCATGGAATTAAGTTTGCTTACTGACCCGTTCTGAAATCTGTGTGAGGACAGGTGAGCTAGAAAGAAGTGTCATTCTGAGAGAATACAAGATTCTCTGATTCATTTATCTAGTGTCATAAGTATTCTTAAAACCCTTAGTAACAGTGAATTCTTTGGACTTCATGGATTTTAGTCTACTTTATTGCTATAAGTCCCCTTCCTCTGGTAGGCTGCTTGGTAGGACATACAGAAGTGGAGTGGAATATTGCACATTTTCATGGTATGTTAAACGCGGCTACCATTTGTTACAATTCTGTATTCCACCAAGAGATTTTCGGTTTCAGCTATTTTTTTTTTTTTTTAAACATATAAGAAGTCTTACCTCCGTTTTATCTTAGAAATGGAAAGTCTTAGCCCTTATTACCAAAGGCATCTACTGTAGTGGAACTTGCCTATTGAATAATTAAGTAAAGGATGCTGTTAAGGTTTCCAGAGAGAAGTACTTATGTCTATTCTGTTTCAGAAATTGTGTGAATATTTCTTTAACTTAATTATTACTGCTAAATAACACTTCCTCTGAAAAACTTGATCCCCTAAGTCTTTGTTTTTGGAGTGCAGTGGTTGCGAAGGAACCGCCTGTGAAATTATTATGCTGTGGAACTGTTAGTTTAATTTTTATCCCACTTGCACTTTTTGAGAAGATGCTAATGTAATTTTTGTCACTTCTTTGTAGTTCTGAGAATTATTACTGCTTCTGCTATTGCCTGGTCATCATTCAACAAATAATTTTGTATGTGCTTTTCTGCCATTTCTGTGTATTTGTTTCAGTGCAATGCGTGTGTTGCTGTCCAAGTTGCCACGACCATGGATTGTTGATGAGAAAAAAGATGATGGTTATACTGCCTTGCATCTGGCAGCCCTGAATAATCACGTGGAAGTGGCTGAACTTTTGGTGCATCAGGTAGGGCTCTCTTATCGGGAGGATTTAAATGTCGTGCTTTGATTAACCATCTGATGTGAATATAATTTGCTTCTTGAAGCCCGCAATCACAGTGCAGAAGCAGTGGAGCAGTGAAGGCCGTGTGGTAAGCGCTAAAGGTCAAGCTTGCCTTTGATGCCATTACAATGGCCTAATGGTGCAGAGGGACTGAACAACTTGTTACCTGTTTGAATTCAAGAGCTCACCATCTGTACATTGAATAATTAAACTAGTTAATAAATTCTGCTCTAAAATCTCCAAAATAGGAATCATATTTAGGATCTTATTCAGTGCTCCAACTGACTGCCTTGCTTGTTGGTAAAGTGCTGGGATAATTAATGGTCTAATGCTTTGAATATCTTTCAGGGCAATGCTAACCTGGATATCCAGAATGTTAACCAGCAGACTGCTCTGCACCTTGCCGTTGAACGACAGCATACACAAATAGTTAGGGTGAGTGTCTTATTTGCAATAAACCGTATGCATAATAGTGCTTTGTTCAAGCTGTTGGTAACTGTTAAGACACAGATTTTTTTTCTGAAATAAAAAAAATGGTGTAACAGCTTGTTATAGTCTTTGAATGTTTGTATGATTAGTTTTGATCAATTCAGAAACCTGCAAACTTTGCACAGAATATCAATAGGCTAGATAAATGCTAAGAAAATTCCAAGAAGGTTTTTTCTATATATACATTATGCTTTTCTCTCTGTGGTTGTCAGTTCCGTCATCCCTCCTTCTTGAATAATGGAGAATGTGTTCCTCTATTCATTGTCTTACCAGAGTCTTATGGATTCTGTAATGAGACCTTCAAATAGCATTTTTAATTTCGCTTGCTTTATGAATAATTGCTTGTAGCTTTTACAAGCTGTATCTAAATTAAACATCTTGTTTTTACAAGTTTCACTACTTTTCAGTCCTCTGAGCTCATAGTTTTCCTTTTTAGCTTGAGGAAAAAGCTATAAGCAGTAAAAGAAGTACCTTACCAGTGAAAGTAATGCCACTTCTATTTTTTGCTCACATGATTGAAAAGGTCTGAATGCTTTCATTTAACAAAATTTTGGTGGCCTGGGAAACTGAGGTTTGGCACGTTTGGCCCATTGTGGCCTGCGTGTGCTGTCTGCACGAGACCTATGTGGTTTACTGTTTGGGTTGCTAGTGTGAGCTGATGAGACTCGGAGAGAACACCCACTGCTGTAGGAAGTGTCCCCTAGGAGTGAATGCTTGAGCCTGACTTGGCCCACTGTTAAATATTTTTATTTCCTTTCTAGAGTAAGAGTCATCCTGTATTAAAAGCTGCCTCTTATTCAGGCATACAAGGGACTGTGTCTTGCATAGACCTATGTCTGTGGTTCTGTTTAGCGTTATTTTGCCATAAGTTTTCTCCAAATCCATGAGCTGATGGATGTGATCCCGTTACAGTGAAACATGTGATATGGCCCTATATCTGGAACTGCTTGCTACCAGAAGAATGGTTTCATAGAGTCAGTGTCACTTGCATTCAGCAAGCTATTCTGCAGCTATATTTGGTGAGCCCGTGTGCCCTTTTGGAACTGACATGGTACCTGGGAATACAATACTAATTTGACAGATGAGCAGGAAGGTAGGCATGTTGAAGAACTAGTATGTGCATTGGATTGGCATGCTTATATCCAAGAATGTTTAAGTGAATGACCCTCTAGAGTATCCATACTTCACAGTTGGATTAACTTTAAGAAGTCTGAAAATAACTCATGCAGCCATGCAAAGAACATGTTGGCTCCTATATTTCAAAATTAATTCCTACTGGGTACCTTCCAGGGTTGGGTTATACCGTCGGGCATTTATAAAATAGTGGTCAAAGGTAGCAGGGTTCTTTTAAAAAGCTCTGGTGCCATGACAAAGGGCGACTTTTTATTTATTTATTTATTTATTTATTTATTTATTTATTTATTTTTAAACTTCTGCAAAGGCTTTGAATTGCCATTGAACTTCCATGACAGCCAAGGATTCCAGGTTACTCTTAGAAGAGTTCTCTTACAGATTTTCTTCAGAGGAATTGACTAGAAACCCATAATAACAATAGAGAAATTGTCATTACATGTTACCATTTCCAGGAGAAACAATTAAGCAACAACTGGCTAGTAGCAGGTACTGCCTTTGAATATGAGAAAGACAGACTGGGGTCAGAATAAATCCAGTTAGAGGGAGTATGGAGTCCAGGGGAGACTGTTACGACTCTGAGCTGTGTGTTTGTGTGTGTTTGTTTTTGACTTCACTTTTGGAAGGAAGGGTTGGGGAAATGGTCAGCAGCAATCAGTAACAGGCAGGTATTTACTTGAAGTATGAGCTCTGAATTCCTTTTGGGTCCAGGTAAGTCTTTTTTCCTTCTAGTCTCTTCTAGAGAGACTGAGAATCCTTGACTCTGAGAGTCCAAGATCCTTGCAAACTTGCTAGTTCTGAAGAAGGAGATTGCCTTTCATGTCTTCTTATTTCTAGGGTATGCTTTTTGTCTCTACCACTACTCAGAATTCTGCAGAGTAACAAAAGTTTCTAACTAAAATGTCAAAACATCAGCTGTCATCTACAGGTTTCTGAATAGCAATGGTGACAGCTTTTTTTTTTTTTTTAAAGGGGACTTATTTATCAGCGAGTGTTTATTTGTTTCGTTTAGCAGCACATTTAAGAAAGGTGCCTATTAAAGTATAGGAGGGCTGTGTGCAAACGCAGTCCACACTGGAGGGCCTGTGTGGCCTTATACTTGCTATTGTCTCATGTGACTTGGTACATACATTAGTGGTGTTAGTGTCTTCTCCTGAACAGGAATAGACTTAAGTACACTTAACTGTTTTGCCGATGTGAGGATACTGTAAATCAAGTTGTAAACTTTAGCATGATATGAAAAGTGGTGTTTTGTGGGGTCTTTGAAACATAATAGCAGGAAACGTACATATCTGTGTCACCTGCTTTGTTCCTTTTCTAACATATTTCTGTAATATTGCATTGTTTGTAAGATTATCTTGTAAGAGATACAGATTTTGAACAACAGAAAAACTCCTCTAAAATAGCATCTCTCTCTTAGAGAGTAGCTCTCCCTCAGAGTACAGCAAAACATTAGGCCTGTGCTGAAATAAAACTGACATTTGAACGAGAGAAGTGCCTCAGTTAAAGGCTGAGCTTGAAGTCTGGCATTTAAATTCAAATAAACTGAATTCTGAATAGTAACAAGGTAAAAGAGTAACCCTTTTGGATCTTTTAGGACTTCCTAAACTATAGACTTAAACTATAGAATAAACCTGGTATGGGGTGGGGTTGTTCGGTGGTTTGTTTTTTTTTTCTTTTTTTTCTTGAGATTTAAGTTCGATTCTCTTTCTTTCAGCTCTTAGTCCGTGCAGGTGCTAAACTGGATATTCAGGATAAAGATGGGGACACTCCCCTGCATGAAGCCCTGAGACACCACACACTGTCGCAGCTCCGCCAACTCCAAGACATGCAAGATGTGGGCAAGGTAGATACTGCTTGGGAGCCATCAAAGAACACAGTAAATAAAATGCATTTATTTATTCCTTTTTTTCCCCCTCCCGTACATCTGTCTCTATTAGTCTAGTTCATCTAATTTCTGTACTGTTGAACTGTTTTTTGGCAGCCTAAGGTTATTTTCACATTCCACGTCAGGAGGTAATGCATGCAAAAATTAAATTGTTGTATGTGACTTTTCAAATTTACTCATTGAGTTTGTTAAAGAAAAATACAGATTATTTAGTTAAAAATATTTCTGCAGAGTTTTTCATTGAGAATATGTATGGCTGCCAAAAAATCAAAAGCAGCTTTTGGAAAGAGAAATAAGCAGTAATACAGTACAGGATAAGGCTAAATTTATGTTTTCTAAGGTTCAACATCTTGCATGTCTTTATTTGTAGCTTTAAACAGTTAGCTGTTTCTGTAACCTTCTAAAAGCTTCTTATGTTAAAACTAAGCACTCTTAATCTTTGCATCTTGTTACATACTTTCTGACGGAGCTCATTTCAGAAATTGTAAGGATAGTCAAAGAAATTCCAAGTAATAAAGGTCAAAGTATTATATTAAAAAAGAAAAAGAAAAGAAAAAGTATATGAATATTGTATGCAAAGGTGAAGTTTATAGATTTGCTTATAGGAAAAAGAAATAAAATTCAGGAAAAAGTGGGATTGAGGAAGGTAAGCATCACTTTTTTTCTATATCTATTAATCATGCAGTGTAACAGTGGGTTAGACTTGCTGAATCATTAGTAACCAGTGCCATAATACTTTTTCTGATTTTTAGTATTGGTGACAATTTTTCCATTTCATTCAAAAAAAAATTTAGTAAAAAGCCTTTGTTCAAAACTGTAAATCCACTGTACAAGTACATTTTTTAAAATGGACACTTAATTTCACTGAAATACACTGGACTAATACTTTAAACCTCGTTTCAATGCTAATTGATGTATATATAAGAAAATGCTTGTGCACTTTTGAGTGGGAGGAAGGAAAGCAGTTAAAGCTCAGTTGTGTTTCCATGATCTGAAATGGACTCTGTGAGAGGTGGCCAAAATAATTTGTGTGCATGTATTTAGTTTTGAAACTAATGAACAGGACATGAGTACTCCTTCTCGGGTTCAGCATTTCAAAATATGTTTTTCAGTTGTCCATCTTACCACTGATGGCATCCGAAATGAAACTGGAGGAATTGTTTCAGGTTTTTCTTAATGCAAGAAGTGTTTTTCTCTACCACCTTTTTAAATTTTAATTTTTGAGGTTTTATGCTTTAAAAATTAGATTTTTATTTTTACATTCTGGTTGCTCCTGGTTTCATTTGAGCTGTGTTCTTGACAAAAATTTACACTTTTAGTTTAGATTTTAATAAAACTAAAAAAGAACAGCCACAACAAAAAACAAAAAAATCCCTGCAAAAGTTGTATGTCTGAAAACAGAAAAGTGGTCTAGGGTTTAAAAAATGGTGATCAACCAGTAGCTACTATTTTAGTTTGATCAAACTACTAATGTTTTGTTCCCCACTTTGCAAAAACCTTCTCTGCAGCTAAACATAGCCAACCAATGTTTAGGAGGATTAAGTGGTGGGAAGGAGATTTGTGCTTTCATACAAAATACTAAAACTTGTTTGTTCTGATTTCATGTGGCAGCAAAATAAGATGAAAACAATTTCCAAATGTCAAATCTGGCTAATACTTACCTGAAGACTCTCAAATCATCAGCATGTTGGACTATCTTGAAAATGTAGATTTGTGGAAAAAAATAAACGAGAATGATATTTGTACTTAAAGCTAATATAAAATGATAAGTTGTAGTGCAAGAAAAAAACCAAATGTTCTGTTCTGCTAAAAACTAGATTTTACCAGTAAACTGTTTTAATAGTAAGCCGCTTTTGATCCGAAGTCTTAAAGAGACAATTGGGCCGCTAAATGCTGCTGCGTAGCTCAGCTATCTAGAGCTTTAAAGGTACCCAAGGACACATTTACAATTTTTCTTGTATAGTGTTGCAAATACAGGAGATGGATAATAGCAGATAAGTAGGGTAAATAATAATAATGGATGAATAGCTTAGCCTGGGAAACAGTAAAGCTTTCTTTTGGTGAATATGATGACTGTCAAGTAGATAGAATCTGTGTTTTTTGAATTTTTGAGTAATTGTTATTAATTCCTTTAAAAATTGGGAAAAGCTGTCAGATTTCTATAGCCTGAGAGCAAATCTGATATTTAAATCTTTAGGTATTTTAGTGCTGAGTATTTGCTCTGCTAAATTTTAATTAACTGTGGACAACTGTCTTTAAGATATCCGTCTGCTAAGCACCCCAGGGGTGCCTCTTTGTAGTATAATACCTCAACAAAATAATTGAATTTTGCAATTGAATAAACTGCAAAAGAACAAAAATTAGACTTCAAGGATTTTAAATGTCTTTCACGTTTGAAGTTGGTCGGCAAGCTGTGTAATGCTCAACAGCAATTTCACTGAAAGTTCGCCATTTGTTCCTTTTTGCTTTGAGCATGGCTTAAAGTGTGAAACATACTTTTAACTGGTATTGGGCACTATTTCATAGGCAGAATTATGCAGAATAAAGATATTAGTATTTATTTTAGTAATTCCTTCTGAGTGTTGATACTAAGCTAGTGCAATAACTAACACTGTTTTTGTCAGTTTTGTTCAGTTGCTGTATTTGATATGGTGGACTGTTTTAAGATGCATGTAGTAAACAACTTGGATAGTACACAAAACTCTACATATTGTAGATATCATTCTGAAAAATATTTTTGTGTTATTTTCAAGAGCTGCGAAGAGAACACTGCATTTCTTTAAATGATTTTGAATCTTTTTTTCCCAGCACAAATGTTTTCATTAGCATTTTCAGTAAGACAATTGTACAGTTAGGAGGAAAGCTTTTCTGAAGTATAATTCCCACCACCACAAAAAAGCCATATGGTTCCCTTGTTATGGATGTAGTGTTTCTCAAGCTGGGGCACTTTTTATGCTCACTAAATATTTAATTCCTCAGTCTCTTATTTTAATATAGGCATCTTTTAGACCCTCAAAACACTTTTCAGATACAAAATGATCCCCCTGCCTAAATCCTACTTTAAACTAAAGAAACTCTAATGGAAGTCACATAGGTGTTTACAGTTTCTGAGGTGACTCAGTAGTTATAATTACTTAGACTATATCTATACTGTCTTTGTGGATGACACCAGGAAGAGATTTCTTCCCCACAGGTGATTTGATGTAGACTGGCAGACTGATGGTAATGCATCTTAGGGCTAGCACCCTCCAGGGCAGACTGACTGCAGCCGTACTGGACCCTAAGACATAACGTTTGTTTTTGTGTGTGTTTTTTTTCATTCTGCATGTTTGAAATGAAAGAGCTGTGTTGCAATCTACCAGAGAAGTGTCATACTCTGCAATATCTCCGTCGTGTTTTTAAACCCTGCAGCATGTGGTAGCGTTTTAGGACTCTAGGTTGTCTTGCATAATGCTGATGATTGTTCCAGGTGGAGGAGCCAATCTTGGCATAGTGCATATCTATACTGAGTGAAGGAAATTATCTTGTTAGCTTTGTTTAATTTTTCCCTCTTGGAGAAACTAATAGTTTCATTCTGAAACAACTCAAAGCCCGTGAGGAGTAAGCATGGATAGTTAGAGAACTCATGTCCCAGTAATGAAGAAAGGACTAAATCATATTGTTTGATGTAGGTATGCCTTCAAAGAATGTCTACTCTGCCAGTGCCAGAGGAAGTTAGTTTTTGCTGGGCATTGCGCTGCTGTGGCTGGTGGTATCCAGCATACCTGTTTTTTAGCTAAATTAAATCTCAGCTGTGCTCAGAGATAACTAGATAGGTTTTGAAAACTGTTTTCTTAATAGTTCACTCAAAGATGCGTGATCTTTAGGATTGTAGTGACTGATATCTGGTATTTTATTTATCCTGTATGCTGCTAAAATAGCATGCTATTTCTACTTCTTTAAATGCGAAGTGGTTAATGTAGCTGAAAGGGCCTTCGTTTTTAGGGGTGATACTTGACACTCGGCTTTTAGGAGACCAGCTGCAGGGACAGACTGCACAAACTGAGAGGAGCATAGAAAGACTTGTATCAGCCAGGTGGGGAATTAACACCAAGTCATGGGAAAGGCTGAAAAGAGATGGGTACGAAATCTCACCTCTTTACTAGTCTTGATGCCTATATGATTCTGGAATTCAGAGCTTAAAGCTCCTGGCATTGAGGTTGTCTCCTTGTCCCAAAGTTGTTCCTTTGAATACAGTCTGGTATAGTTTGCTGAGGGATTCTTCAGTGGTGCCATCAGATTTATGTTGTATGAAATATGTTTGCTTATGCATTTTATCCAATCAATCCTTAATACAGAAAAAAAGATTTTGGAAGTGGGCTGAGAATACTGCAGTCTAGGTGAGCCCTTTACTTGCTGAGCTAGAGTATTGGGCCTTCTCTCTTTGTCTTTCTAGCTGGAGCTGAGAGTCTTGTGTTCTTTTCTACAGCAATATCTGTAAAAGGGTGAGGGAGCACTGCATGATCATTAGGGCAGGAGGACGGGGCGTGGGTTTAAATCCCGCCAAGCAGAGAAGGCAGCTGAAATCATCTCGTTGTTGGACAGGTGCTTTATTCACTAGACTACTAAATATAAATGTGCCTGTATGTCTGCCTAGCTGTGTTTTCTGTTCAAGTAGACTGGTGATTGCATTTTGTCTGAACTCAAGGTTAGCATGTATCAGGTATATTCTAAATATGCCCCCTGGGACTGCGCCCCTTAAAGTACTTGTATAGAAGGATAACCACTTTATAAATGAGTATAGGTGTACAGGAGATTGAATGCTTCAATAGCTGAACTATTCCTTGCAGAACTTTATATGTTTTTGAAGAATTTTAAATCGTTAAAAGTTGAATTTAGCTGCCTGGAAAATTAAGCAACTGTATGATAGTTTTGATGTTAGATCTAGAGATGCTTTCTTGGTCTTAGATTTGTGTGTGTGTGTACATGTGTGTGTGCATCCGCGTGCATGTCAGGTAGTCTTCCTTTGGCCAGACTGTTCTTAACTGTTTAGAAAGTCTCTGAAGTTGCTTACGTATTTGTTTTCTTTCAGTTAATAATGGGACTTGGCACTCAGGGAGCAGAGAAGAAGAGTGCAGCATCTATTGCCTGCTTCCTGGCAGCCAACGGAGCTGACCTCAGTATTCGTAATAAGAAGGGTCAGTCTCCTCTTGATCTCTGCCCTGATCCTAGCCTCTGCAAAGCATTGGCTAAATGTCACAAAGAAAAAGTCAGGTTTGTATGCTAATAGAATATGCGGTTTCCAAATCTCTGCTTTCTATAGATTAATGGATGCGTTAAAAACATAGTGCCTGTATTAGGAACGGTGTTAAAATACATAAGCTTTATCTTGACTTTCAGGTAGTTCTTTATGTTCTGTGGTATGTTGAATGCTGTTTATAATGTTCATCAGTTGAAACTTACACAAGTCTTCCCAGGTAAGAATTTCATACGCTGAGTGAAGTTCAACCTGTATCTCCTTCCCAGGGCGGTAATTCTGTGTCCTACGCAGACCTTGTTCTCTCCCTCTGGCAGGTAACACCCCAGGGTGGGCTGCAGTCCAGCTGTGTGGCAGCTGACTCTGTACAGGATCTACTTACTGTTCTCACTCACCTCCTGTGCTGAGAATTTGCTGCAGACACTGCACTGGCGTGATGGCCAGGCCGTGCTTCTCTGGAAAAACTCGGGCTTGTAATCTAGGAAAAGCAGCTATCTAGCTGGGCTGTGAGGAATTGCATTGTGATAGGGGGGGATGGAAGAGAGTTGTTCAGTTCGGGAGTAGTTGTTGTTCAAGGGGAATTTTGAGAGACTGGGAGTGGTTAGGAGAAGACTGAATGTATTTGGGATTCAGTAGCTTTGAAGTGGCTCTGGCTAAGTAGAAGCAGGTTGTATCAACTTTGGGGAGTTAAACTGGGTGGGACCAAGGTGGATATTTTTATGGAGCTTAGTACACAAGGCTTTTGATGCTGATGATTACATTGGGTTAGGGAGGATATTGCAGTACCAGGGACTAGAAGCAGAGCGAAGAGTGTATACAGGAGGGCAAAGAGTGAGAAGGTGGCGATATGCAGTCTGAGATTGGTAGACCTCCATACCATCCCAGAAAAGGGGTATGTGTTGGGGGGGGAATCGCTGCAAGAGTAATTAAGCGTTGGAAGAGGTTACCCAAATAGGTTGTGGAATCTCTGTCCCTGGAGATTTTGAAGACCAGCATGGGCTTAGAAAAGCCCTGAATAACCTGAATTCATTGTTGACCCTGCTTTGAGCAGGTGACTTCATCCTGAGTTCCTGCGAACCTGAATAATTATATGATTCTACAGAAAGCAGAGGAGGGTGTTGGCCTAAAGTCCCAGAAGTGCTTTTCTAGGAATTAACATGACATTTCACTGAAACCATTGTATCAAATGCCTGTAGTGTGATAGATAAGTTTCAGCTTGCTACTTGTCCTGGTTGTATTTGCATTATTGGCTTATGTGATTCTTATTGCTAATTCCTGTTTAAAAATCAGAGTATAGAAATCAAAAACGTACTTCCAAAAAAATGTCATGAAGAGAGACTCTTTGTTGATGCTACCCTGATATGTGAGGTGTTTATTTTCTTCGGCCTTTCTGCCTGTGTCAGACAGATTATTGCGACTGCTCTGCTTCTTTCTCCCCACCTTTTATGGCCTTGTGGAAGTTGTAGGGGATGAACTTAGTTTGAACACATGCTCCCTCTGCTGGATGAGCAGCAGCAGAGGACAAAGATCCAATGTGAATTCACTTTGGGATTTGGGGGGTTGTTTTACAAGCCTGCCATTTTCTAAGTATTTGAAGCATATTCAGGATTGGTTAAATGTTAAGTTGTACAGTTTTGAATCTAAAGGGTATGCCTCTCTATTAGTAGGTAGACTTATAAGGGAGGGAAGGGTTTTTTATATTGACAGGATGCTGTTTTAATTCAATTGTGTAGCCTATTTCTGCAGAAAGTCTTATCTGAGCATGGGAGCTTGCACACTGGCGTCAACTGTACATTTGGGAAAATACAATTGGAAGCGTGTTATGATGATATACTGATGCCTGAATGCACAAGAAGATATATATAAGCAACCAATTGATGTGCAGCATGAGTTAAAGTTCTTAGAAGTATACGTCATTAATATGCTAACTGAAGTCTGACTGCAAGGTTTCTTTGTAGTGGTCAAGTTGGTTCCCGAAGTCCATCTATGATCAACAATGATTCTGAAACCTTAGAAGAATGTATGGTGTGTTCAGACATGAAGAGAGATACTCTCTTTGGCCCGTGTGGACATATTGCCACTTGTTCTCTGTGCTCCCCACGGGTGAAAAAATGCCTCATCTGTAAAGAACAAGTTCAGTCTAGGACAAAGGTAAAACCTTCCAAAGTTTTGGGTTTTTTCTTCTCTCTCTGTTTATAATGTTAACTAAAAGACGAGATCATGGAAAATTATCGTATATTTTGAGCAGTATTTTGTCTTACAGGTGTCTAAGTGAATGTGATTAATATTGCATCGTTAACTGATATCTTGTCCCAACATCATATATTATTCTTTTCTGTTTACCTGTACTTGTGTCCTGCCACTCCCCTCCTGCCTGCCCTGTCCTAACACAGCCATTTGATGGTGTTGTATTTAGATAAGTAGATACGTTGAGGTAGACTGCTGCTATTCCTGAAGTATAATTTCTTTCAGTTCTTTTGAGTTCTTTCATTCCTTAGGACTGCTTTGGAAGATGGTTAGACTATAAGCTGAGTTAGTTGATACATGCTTCTTTTTTAAGTTTATTGTTATTTTCAGCTTTCACTTTCTTTTTCTTTGGAATCATGAGTTTTACTATGCTATGAAGGAGCGATGTTTTACTCCTGTGAATGTAGTTTTACTCCTATGAAGTAAGCTCCTTTAGAGCATCAAACAGTTATGCCCTGTTTTGGGGACCTAATCTAGCTTTCTCAAGTGGTTGTTCCCAAGTATTTGTGAACGGTCTAGGTGCAGCCCCAGTGCTTTTCTGTCTGAGTATTCTTTTATTCCCCACAGTCACCAGGTCTTGTCCTTTTGATGCCTTTACAAAATATCTCATACTACACACACAGATTTTTCTGATCTGTATAAAACTCTACCTCAGAGTAAATGTACAAACTATAAATATAAATTTATACCATTTTTACTCTTCATTCTTATTCTTTCTTATTTCTTATACTGTTATTCTTTCTTACTCTGTCATGCATATCTTTCAAAAGCTAAATTTTAACAGTGCGAGGCCCTTTTTCTCTAGACTCCCTCTGCAGTCAGTAGAAAGGTACTGCCATAAGTTGACTGAGAGCAAGCAGAGTAAGGCTTCTGCTTCCACTCACCTGTCTAAAGCTGGTCTGTAGTAATTAGCTTTCCTAGGTGAAAGCTAGCCTTTGCTCATAACCTTCCGTTGCTTTGTTTTACTAAATTAGATTTAGAGAGAGAAATATCTATTTGATCCTTTCTAATACTCTTCTTTGTAAAAACTTACAGTAATATCTGTAAGGTTAGGAAATGAATGAACCTGGGCAACAGTTTTATGAACCGAAAGAGGTGGTCTAGGCCAGTATAAATGGTATGGTATCAGCGGTCTATGGCCACTTTCTGTGCAGCTTATCATATGAAATGGCTTGGGAAGCCATAATCCAGAATATTAAAATAGATTACTATAAAAGCTTCTTATAAATGAGTTTAAGCATATATGATGGAGCAAAAGGAAAAAAAAATAGAAGCATGTACTGTCCTAGCTACTTCTGCGTCTATATGCCTATCTATACTGAACATATAAATATTGCCAGGAAACATTTATTTGTAGAAGTCAGTGTGACAGCTGCTTTAAACTGTGTTTTGAGGTGATGAATTAGCTTTAGTTTCTTTAAGTCCATGTACCTTGGAATGGAATGAATAACCAAATTAATGCAGAGAAGAAGAGATAAAGTTTTCTTACATATGTTTGTTGTTCTTTACAGATTGAAGAATGTGTAGTGTGTTCAGACAAAAAGGCAGCAGTACTCTTCCAACCTTGTGGTCATATGTGTGCTTGTGAGAGTAAGTAGACTTGACAGGAAGTTCTTTTCAAAATAATCTTGAAACAGAAGACTTTTAAATAAAAAATGGCTAAGAATCGTTAATGGTCTGACTTCAAGTCCGTTTTACTTGTTGGAAGTTTGATGCGATTGTCAAAATCTTAGCATTATTTGATCTACTGATAAATAAATATTTGGAGGGCAAATTATATAAACTGTAGAAGTTCAAAAATTCATAAAGCTGCTGAATTATGAAATTTTGATTAGGTTCCTCAGATTGGAGAAGCTTGCTGTATGTATCTAAAAGTTCTGAAATCATTAGATTTATTTTTATTGTTTTATTACAGCTTTTGTGAAAGGCATTCGCAAATGGAGTTTTGAAAGGACGTTTTAAATATTTTAATTCACTTCATTATTGATCTGCAGATTTGCACAAGGGCTGTAATCTTTCTCTAAAAGAGATGTCATTGCAAAGAGCACCTGTTATGATTCACTCTGGTTTATCTCGTGTAGCAACAGGTTGGGGGGGAAGACATGGGAGATCTCTAGACCTTTTTTCTTTCGGGAATAAGTTGATGAGAATGCAGCAATCACCTTGTCACCAGAAATTTCAGGACGTTTTAGAACGGTCATTTGCCTGAAGAATGGTAGTGCTTGTTGTTTGGAGCAACATGAGAGGGAAAGTATTCCTTCCCATAAGTAGTTGCTTGCTTCATCTTGCTGAAGAAGTGTGTGTGTGTGTGTGTGGTTGTGTGGGGGGGGGGGGGGAGGTGGTTGGTGGTTTTTTGTTTGGTTGGCTTCTTTCTTCTCTCCTCCTTTCTGTTCTGGCTGTGAGACCTGACATTGAATCACTGCCTTTACAGCTATCCTGATGTGGGCTCTTTTCACTGTCTGCCGTTGAAAGATCATGAGAAAGAAGTTTTTTGATTAGTTTTCCAGGAGGAGGACAGCAAAAAGATTAATCACTGTGGTGAAAGATTTCAGAAATGAAGTACATATTACTGAATCTAAGCTGTAACAGGGAAGACAAAAAGTTTTACGAATGTAAATGATTTCTTTCCAGATTATCTTCTGGGCATCCTAAGTAAATATCATGAGAGGGAGTCCTCAAATTTGTGTAGTTTACGGCAATTACTGTATTCATTCACGGTAACCTTCTTCTGCAATTATGAGACACCATCACTTGCCCTTGTAGAAGAATTCTAGCCTTGTTGCTGGGATATCAAAGGATGTGGGTTTACCCTTCTAAGGGTAAGCAGCAGCAGCACCTGTTTGTCCCCTAGATACTAGTACAGTGAGTGAGATTCTTGTTTATGAAGGAGAAAGCAGGTGATCAAGACATTCTCAGAAGTTCTGGTCTCAAATCTGCATGACTTAAGTTTTTCAGCCTCTATAGTCCTTGTGGAATAGACATTTGTTTGGAGAAAGAAGAACATGTTAATTTGAAACATACTAAAAAGAAAAAAAAAAAAAGACCAATAGAATAGGATTACTGTGAAACCTAAATGGGATGTTTTTTGTAGGTGTGATGTGAAAATGAACACAAGTAGCTGTTTTGTATTGTAAGCATTTATTATGGCATTGCTATATAATTACTGGGAAAAGAGTAACATAAGCTCATGGATTGAGAAGAGACAAAAATTAGAACAGCAAGATTCAGGGTTGATTTATTTCTCTGTCCTCTCAGATTGTGCAAGCTTGATGAAGAAGTGCGTCCAGTGTCGGGCAGTGGTTGAGCGGCGAGTGCCTTTCATAATGTGCTGTGGAGGGAAAGGTACAGAAGATACCACTGATGATATTTGTGAGTGACTGCAAAACCTGTACGCTTTCCCCTCCCCCACCATCTTATTTCAACTTCTTCTCATTCTTTGAAACGACCTAAATTTCATCTCTTCTTTGAAGAAGAGTTTAATGGAAACAATGTTAAGCCAGGTTTCCATTTGCTATGCGTGCTATTTGCTATGAGGGTAGTAGCAGATACTACAGTAACACCAGCCATGGCACTAAAGGACTGCTTCCACTATCCAAAGTAGAAGCTGAGGCATAAATGACTTCATGACCAGTTAAACTCATATGAATCAAAAACTGAAGATTTTCACTAGCTGTGCAAATGAGCAAAAAAAAAAAATATATATATATATGTGTGTGTGTGTGTATATATATATATGTACGCACACACATATGCACACACACACATATATGTTTTTATTTCTGGAACTCCTTGACTAATAAAGGAATTGTAAATATTCTGCATGTAGGACAGAGCTGAACAAGTAACCTCCGTGGCAGTGTTATGTTTCCTACTTTGATTAGTTCTTAAATTTAGTTCTTAAAATTAGTTCTGATGTTATGAATAATTTCTGTGAAATATTTTTATCAGCAGTGCTTGTGTTATATGTAGTGTTTGAACTGAGTTTTATTTGAATTAGAATAATAGGTGTCATTCTTTTCATTCTGTTCCTAAATAGATGAACATAATACTTAAAATCAAGTTTTTAGTAATTGCATTACAGATAGAAATTTGCACTTGGAAATACTTCCCAATTTTTCTTTGTTCCTGATAGTAACATTGCTTTCTGGATCAGTCAGATACAGAACTGGCAATCTGAGTTTGTTCAACTATTTGAACAAACTACTTCCATGATACTTTTTTTGATCATCGAATAGAATTAGCTGTGTGGATAAAAGAAGTATTTCCACAGGGAAGGTTTTACTTTTATTTTTTGTACATGCAAAAAAAACTTTGCCAGAGGAACTTCACTGACAAATAAGAGCTCTGAGAACATCAAGGGGCTACAGTCATTTTGAGCATTATTGTTGAGGAAGTATTTGTCAAAAAGTGTTGTTGCTAGACTCAGAAGTACTTTAGTGTAGGAATTGAACTGCAGTGAGTTTGTATTGAATTTAGTAAGATTATCAGATATGTTTGAAGAACATTACTTCAGATAATGGAAAAATTGTGTATAAACTGGAAATAATTATTCCTATTTCATTAGGCGATGCATAATCGGATACCTTTTTTGTCTCTAAATTACAGCAAGCGGAAACATTCCGGTTTTACAGAAGGACAAAGACAACACCAATGTCAATGCGGATGTACAGAAGCTGCAGCAGCAGTTACAAGACATCAAGGAACAGGTAAAAGTGCTAGATGTAATATTTTATGGATCATAAAATAGAAAAAATATGCATCTTCTGTAATTTAAAACAAAATGGCTTGTTGAAGCACTTCAGTTCTTAAATTTTAGTTAAATAACCAATCGCTTTTGTGTCAAACGCCAAATAATCAGCAACTGGCCGTGGTTGATAATCCATTTGTTAGAATGTTTGTGTTGGTATCATTAAAGGTACTGAGCCCAGTTAGTAAATGTTCTATGCCTGTTTAGCTGAAGTGAGCATTATAGCTACAGCAGAAGCTTTTTTCACAGAACGCTAGTAAAAGTAGGTATTCTCCACCGTTCTGTATCTACCCGAAACTTTACTTGTCTGTTCGTGAACCACCTTTGAACAGTAGCTGGCAGTTAGCTGTAGTACGTAGGCTCCAGTTTATGTACTCTTGCAGACAATTGTGTGTGGTTGCAAAATGAAATCTGCTGGGTGTGGAGTACTGCAAGTATAATCTGAAAATTTTTGGAATGTAAATAAAAAGGATTTGTCTCTTGTAATTATGCATAGTGTTGCAGGAAGAAGTCTATTCAAACTGACTATAGATTTTTATTGATAATTCACTAGTTAATTTTACATGCAATTTAGAACTCGAATGAAACCAAAAAAATGCTTCAGATAACTGACAGTCACCTGTTTAGATTTGTTACGGCTATAAATCCAGTTCACTTCAAATGGCTTAAATAATCATCTATGTGCAGGACTTTCCTGTGATAACTTACTAAGTGTTGTCCTTCCTTTTCCTACTGAACAAACAAATATTTACTTTTGAGCTCTTTCAGCAGTAAGGGACCTGGAGTATCTTGACTACCCTATGAACTTGCTCTCTTAGAGGAAAACACTGATAATGTGATCTTTGCTTTCCCTCTATGTAATATAATTGGAAAAAAATTGTTTTCATGGATACAGGAGAGAGTTAAGCTTTCTTATTAGCTGTTTTTGCCTCTGGTGGGCTTAGAGCCATCTGTAATGCTTCAGTGATAGCAGCATCACATCTAGTCCTGACACTTGTTGCTCTCAGCAGTGCACGTGCATGAAAGTTGAGACTGAATTATTTAGATCACCCATTTTAGGGGATATGACAGGCCCATATCTTTAAATGCCTTAAATTTGAGAGCTGATCTGCTATCAAGTTTTAAACTTGGTGGCGTGTCTGTGAAGAGCTGGTCCTCTCAGAGGGAGAGCTGACCAAGACTCCAGTAGTAGTAGAAATTCAAATATCCAGTTCAAAGTAGATTGCTGCCTAGTTTGTGTCTGTAAAAGGACATGCAGGTTAAAAATTGTTGCTTTGAAAATGTGCGTCTTTCTCACTGATATCGCTTGGAGTTACTGGATATCTGTGACTTCTTAAATCTACTGTTTAGTTTCTGTTATTCTTTTCACTCAATGATGTTAAAAAGTAGAAGCTCGTATGTTGACAATTAGGCTGACTACTTCTGCGCTAAAATGATTTGTGCAAAACATGGAAATGAATGCTTAAATGCAAGTAATCTGTGTTCTACAGATGTCTTAAAATATTTCTAGTTACTTTATTTTATAAACTTGTAGAAGATCTGAGTTCAATGTTGATCTGTTAATACTCTTTTATGGATCAGGATGCAAGAGGAGAAGTACTGAATCTTACAATTTTTCTCCTTGGTTACATGTTATCTCAGTTTTTTCGGTTCTCGTAAGGTCCTCTCTTTTATCCCTAACAGTCTTCTGTCATATTTTTGGGATTTATGTTCCCATTTGTTAGCAAGAAACTTTCTAATATCAGAAAGTTATCTGTAGTAGTAAGAAGAGAAAAGTTGTTTTAAACATGCCATTTTCTATTTGTAATATTTTTTGGTTTTGAGATTTACAGTGTTAAATAGCATTAAATATTTAAATTATTTAGGGATTTTAGTCTACTTTTTTGCTTTGCAATGCCTTTATGTCCATAAAACTTAAGGTTATTCAACACCTATTTGATCAGAAAGAGGTTCTGATCATTTCTGAGTGCATCTTGGCTGGAGACTCTTTTTGCTCAGTGTCTTTTCCGCTTGTTCATACTTGTGAGATGGCTAATGAGTGGCCAGGTGGATTTGATTAAAATTATTCATCTATATCTTTAGATTTGTTCTTGACATGATGCACAAAATTCCATTTTATTCATGTATTCTTTTGATTTGTGCTTTAACAGTTCACTTTTCAAGTTACAGTGTTCTTTTTATACTTAAAATTCATTTATTCTCTTTCAGCAGGTATAACCCTATGTTTCAACTCATACCTTCAATGATAATCTAATATGTTAGTGCAGCAAGCTTTTAAAACCATTTCTGGTGCCAAGCAGAAGTGATGCCTGATGTCAACAGAATCTCCCACATCTGATGACCACACCATTCTTCAGGGATTCCCTTAATGTGAACCCTTTTGACTGTAATTGCAATACCTTCACCCCATTTCATACATATTCACCATCATCTGTCTGATATCTCTGTGTGTGTTCCTTCACCATACTTGCATCATTTTCTTTCTGTTTAAAAATAAATTTATTTTGTCACTGTGCACCTGTATATTGTTGGAGAAAATGTTTTTAGTAATAAGCAGTTGATATTTCAAGCATTTTACAGCATCTTACTAGTGATAAAAAAATAATTTATTTGAAATATCAAGCCTAGTTATAATTGCAGTATGATGAGCACCTTTTAAAGCTTTTTTTTTTTTTTTTTTTTTTTACTTCTCCATAGAAATAATTCTCCCATACAGCAGACATGGTGCTTTTTATACCATTTATTTCCTTTCAGAAGATGGGAGTCAAATGATATATGCAGATAAAGGATAAGAAATTTAACATGTGGTCTTAGGCAGAGAACATACTAGCAACTTAGAGTACAGTGGAAAATAGATACCACTTGTTTCATGCTGCTTTAGCAAAAATTGGGTGTAAGACGTGTAAAGAACTTGCTTCCATTGTAAAAGTGCACATAAACTAATAGTTACCTAATAAATATTCCTTAAAAGTTGGATGAAAATCAACTATTTGGACTTACACGCCTCTGGGGAACTGCTGAACTGTTTGAAAAAGTCCTTGTTAGGGTAGAGCTGCATAACAATCAGGAAGTTCCTGCCAGCTGAATTCTCCTACCGTATGACATCAATGTTAAAGTATTATGTTAAGAAATAAAACAACCAGTACGTTTTAAGTATTTTCTGTTTATATTAATTGGGAGAAATCTAGGCTATTTGTTAATACTGCATGCAATTTCAGAAGAGGTCTAGAAAGTAGAAGTGCTGGTAATTCTGTGCTTCATTGGATGAAATTATCAGGAATAGTGTGGCTTGAGCAGATTTTTGCTTTTCTGAGTCCCATGATGAGTGTATTCATTTTCAAGTGATGGTATGGCATTTTGGAGAGGAAACAGACCCTTGTAACTTCAATAACTGTAATATTGTGTTTAGGCACAAATCATTTAAGCTAAGAACATAGAATAAAGGCTAGAAGTTCTTTCTCCAAAGATAAGATTTGGGTTTGCTTTGTCAGCCTTTGCAAAAGGGCATCTTGTCAATTCTTTTAGGTTATGGACAGGTGTCACCAGACAGCTCTGTATTAGTGGAAAATTCATAGATACATCGTTAATTTTTTGAAGTCAGTGGAGGAAGCATGCCCTAATTGTACCATTGGGACGTGTAGATAAAGACTTGGTGTGAATGAAAAATAGTCTGCACTGACTGACAGTCAGTCTTGCAAATGTGCAGTTTTTGAGAATGCTTTGGTATGATTCTGTTGAAATTCTGACAAAGCTGAAACGTAGTGTTTCTGTGGAGAGTGAAATTTTTGAATGTAAATTCACATAAGGCTTTATCTGGAAGTATTACTTCTCTGCTAGCCCATTATACCAATTTCCTGCAGATTAAGGTAGGCATTCAGCCAAATGCATTGATTTTGAATACTGTATAAGCACACTGATGGTGAAATTGTTCAGTCTTCAGCTAAGCTAGCTACCCTTGGAGGCGGGATCTACTGATTACATGAAGAGAATGCTCTAAGGTTATACTGGATAGGGTTTCTGCTGAGGATGCCATCTCTCTCTAACTAAGTAAACCCCCAACTTTTAGTATGGGAACAAGCCACAGGTGCAAGGTGGTGATAAAATGAATTTGCGTTTGAAATACGGGCCCTGTTAACATTTCACATTATACGTGAGATCAACATTTGTAAGTGTTAGACATGAGTAGTGTGTCAGATCTGAGGACATTGTAGATTTGATTTGTTGGACTATTGAACAGTCTAACAGTTAATCGTATGTTCATCTACTAACATTTGATAAACCTATTATAAATGAAAGTCTAACGTAAGGTATGGCTGCAATATGTTTATGGTGAAGGAACATGCCTTATAAAACCTGCAGTTTATATGTGTGACAAAAGGTGAAGGACGTTGTTCCTTAGTGGTTTGCTACAAAGTGAACTTTGCTGTTTAAGAGCTTTAGGAGATCTTTCTTGGGCATTGGCTATCACTTTAATGTCCAGCAAGTAAAATTGATTTTAAAAGTTTGCTGTGCTACTGTTATGACTAAAGAACACAGATTAAGTTGTTCTTCATTTGAAACTTGAAATGTTCTGTTGGTTGGAAATCTAGATTACTTCCATGAACAAGGAATGGAATATACTCTATTACCAGTATTGAGTTTTTACATATATACTGATTGTACAGCATTTGTATTATTTATGCTTGCATTTGATACTTGGTGTTTAAAGGTAGGTACATGAATGGCTTGGTAGTCTAAGTCAGTAAATTATTCAACTGAGCATTGCACGACGTAAAACTGTTTGTGTTGTGTTTGCTCCCTGGAAGGTTACATTGTGAAAATGGAAATGTTGCTGAATAATGTCTTAGCGTTGCAAACTTAAGTGATGCTTTTGAATTTGTGTTACTGATTATCTTAGTTAAAAGGATTGCATTTGGAAAAAGCTGCATAGATTTTCTCATGATGGAGGAGCCCAAATATAAATTTCTGTTAACTAAAAATGTGATTAAAAAAAAAAAAGTTTTCAGGTTATGGAATATATGCTTAGCGGCTTGGTTATGCTTTGAAAGTTATCTGTTATGCTTAAAATGACGTATTTATTGCTAATTTTTGGTAATTTAGTAGATTAGTAGTATTGCATCCTTGATACTGTATCACTACTGCCATTGACTATATAACCTGTCAAAATCTCTTACAGACTATGTGTCCTGTCTGTTTGGACCGTCTGAAGAATATGATCTTTCTCTGCGGCCATGGAACATGTCAACTTTGTGGAGACCGAATGAGCGAATGCCCTATATGCCGCAAGGCAATTGAACGAAGGATTCTTTTGTATTAAATAGTGGAACCAATGTCTCTTATTAGCTTATTAAATAGTAAGGACTTTTAGATTATTTAAATCTCTGTAAGCTTGAAAGGCAGTAAAAGATTCTAATGAAAACATTTCTAATTCTGTAGCACGGGTTCGCTGCACGGTAATTGTTTAAAGACTGTGAACGCACCAAATAAGAGAACAGTATTTGGACAGTCAGCTTTAGTCTTAAAAGATATGTAAGCTTAAAACTAACTTAAAACAGTCTTTTATTTTCATTCTCTTGTCTTCTTCCCCTTAAAGTGTAAAGGGACAATCTTGTTTTGGTTTCTCATGTTTTTTTCACTGTATGTATTGGGTGTCAAGTGCTGTAGATTTTTTTTTTCGTTTAATATCGTCAGCTACTATCAAATATAAATATTTAGGGTTTTTTGTTTTATGCTTCTTTGAAGAATGTTCAAATGTCCTGTGACAGTTATGGTTCACAATAATTTTTATCCTAAGTTATACAATAATGCAAAATCAGTACAAAGTGTACACACAGTAGTAATAAATACTATACTATTCCTGTAGGATCAGACCTCAAAATGTAATGTTAAAGTAATTCTAGCTTTAACGTGCCCTTTGCTGCTAAGGATGGATCGGGAAGAAAAGATCAGTGAAAAGAGACAAATCTAACTCTAGAAATACTGTGTTCCTAAAACTGCACTTTAGTCTAACAGGTTCAAGCTAACTTAAATAGTGAACGTTTTAATTCTACTAGCCGCGTAACTTTGTGTGGAATTGTTTTTAACTTGACTGGAAAGGAGAACAATGGGTCAGTTATTTCAGATGATGAGTGAATTTGATCAGTCTTAGGGGAACAAATATATATGTGGAGTCATGTAAAAATTCTGAGTCTATGAATTAGAAGAACTGATGAGGAAGTCTGCAAAAGTTAAGCTTCAAAATCATATGAAGCATGAACCAGGCTTTTACACAAATATATGTTACTTTCCTCTTTTAAATTAGTTTTATTGTCTCCAGGAAAACGGTATCAACAGCAAAAGAGAAGATTTAATATTGCTAATTTGTTTAAGTTGGGTATTAACAGCAGAGCTTAGCTGGGAACATTAATAGGTAATATTGTAAATCAAGATTTTGTTGACAGAGTGAGGAATTTTGTGAGCCACGCCTAGGTGAGATAGAGGTGGCTGAGCAGGGGGGTTAGCTGTCGCTAATGTGGCACACAGAGATAGTCTTGGCTCTGAGAGTACCACTGCTAGCAACTGCAAATTATTAACATTCTGGTAATAAATATGCCCTTCCAGCTTTTTGAATGGAAGACAATATGTTGATTTGAGATTCTCTTGTAGCTAATAGGAATGTCTGTTTACTCTTAAGTGATTCAGCAGTTTACTAAGTGCACATTTTATGTAGCCCCTTGCCATCCTGCAGACTTCATTTGAGTGTGTTTTTTGCAAAAACAGTAATGATGTTGAGCACTGGAGTCGCTTAGATGCCTCACTTGCAGCTAAGAATAGTTTCTCATTCACCCATTAGAATTGTCAAAAGCATGGCAGAAGGGATAGTACAGGGGAAGATCCAGGTAAGGATAAAGGGATAAAACTGATCTCTTGGGAAAATCAATCTGCCTTTTTAGGTTTGTACAGATTTGCTTGAATTTTGCTTTACATACTTGATAGTGGTTTTCAGGAAACTACTCCCCTCATTTGGAAAACCAGTATGTAGAGTGGCTGTTAACAAAACAGGCTGAATTAATACCTTGCTCCAGCCATCTTTACTGCTGATCCAGAATTACAAATGTTCATTCTTTTCAGTAATTTCTCACTGGATACAATCTTGATCTGGAGTCAGTATGCTATTCTGTTTTATTTTGTATTCTAGTAGTCATCCACTCTCGGATATTCTTTGTACCTGCCTTTTTGGCCACACCCAATAGTTCTCCCTTTTCTTGCTTCTTTGGTCCCTATTCTTAAATATCAAGACTCTCAAGTAACTTTGATGGAAAACTTCTGGTATAAGGCTTTTTTCAGTTTTTCAGTGTTTTCAGGTTTTTTTTCAGTCCAGCATTTCCCAGTCTCCACTAAGGCTCTGACTGCATGTGATGTATTCACTACAATTTTCTTCTGGCCAATATGTACGTCACTAAGCATGTCTGGAGCTTATATTCAGCGGCTGAAGTGTCTACAGTGCACTTCATAGTTTCCTCTCAGTCTTCCTTTAAAAATAATTTTCTAATAGGACATTTGTTCCATCCTTTGAGTTTTATTCTGTAATAAATCAGACCTGTAGTTCAGTTTTCTCTAATTCAGGTAGACACATTTTGAATATTGTGTCCTATTTATTCTTTGGACCTCTATAAAGTCAGCGCAAAGAGCAAACAGGATGGATTTCTTCTTGATAATACAGCTCAAAATTGGAACCTCATTATAGCAGCTGATGTTCACTGGAACAAGTCAGAATTACTTGAAAGTAATTCAACCTTGCGTTAGTTGAATGATTCACCTGAGCAAAAAGTGGTATAAAGCATCCTGGGTGGGAAACTGGAGTTGAATGTTAAATATGCCTTATCTGCAGGAAGCACAGATTTTAGCCTAGATAGGTAAGTGCTCATACTTTCCAACAGAGAAACTGTAAATTACTTTATAACTGTTAATACCTGGAGACCATCACAGTCCTTGGGAAACAGAAGCAATGACTGAAATTATTGTTGTAGGAGCAGTTGTAGTCGTTTTTGCTATAGTTACGCCAGATATGTATGACTACCTATGTGTTTGTAATTGGCCTCATTGGACTGTCGTGTGTAATTTGAAATTGAAATGTGTCAGCGTCAGGGATTTAGCTTGATTCTATCATGATACGAAGAGAGATGGCTGAATTACCAAAACTAAGCAAATCAGAAAATGTGTGCTTAAAATATTAATGTAGGTCTCTTATTAACAGTGGAAAGAGATGTATTGTGAAGGCTGTGCAGTGCTTTCCTCTCAAAAGACTTGAAGAAAAAGAAGAAAAATGTTTGCAAATCAGGTACTGCTTTTGGAAGTAGATGTTTAGATCCGTACACTGTCCTTGAATCCTGAAAAACAGGGTGAACTCATGTTGCTGAGGAAGGTAGTAAGTTCATTGAAGCAGCTTAGTAGCTATAGTTTGCTGTCTAGTATCATCTGAGCAGTGTGCACAGAGTGCAGATGTTTCTTGGGTAACACTTAATCAGGAGAACGAAAAACAAACTCAGATTGGAAGCCAAGGGTGGTCATAGCAAATATGAGAGTTGGTATATGTCATTGTGCACTGGTCTTCAGCAGAAGATGAAAGGGTAAATCTCATTATTAGGGAGCAAAGTGAAAATGAGAAAAGAAAAACCAGTAAGTAGGCGTTTCACTTTAACATACTGAAAAATTAAGAATTGCAACCTTTGTCTTATAACAGTCCTCCAATATTTAATAGCGGTTTTGAAATTAAGTTGGATAAAATATCTCAACTTATTTCTTGAAGCAATCGAGAAGGCATCTAATAAACATCTGAGCATACCTCACATCTGAACAATATATATTAAGTAAAACATTTTTCATTTTTTCACGTTAGTAAAAGATATAGATGGCCACATCAGTACACAGTGATTAAGATGATAACCTGACAGACTAACAAAATATGCTAAGTGGTTGTAATTTGTTAACTTTTCTAGGAAGTGTATTTTATTTCCTCCCCTCACCTCACCCCCACAGGCCTGCTCCATATCACCCTCTATACCCTAAGCTCCAATAGGACTCATGGCACTTTTTGAAATTTGGGCCAGCGACACCTGTTTCTCATTTGTTGAAATACTGTGTACTTGCATGTTACGGTTTGGAGGGATCCCATTTTGCTGAAGTGGATACTGGAAAAATTAGACCAGCAAGAGAATACACAAGAGTTACTTAGCGAATGTGAACGTTTCATTAGAAGCTAATGCTCTTAATTTGAACTGAGTGAGGATATAGCAGAATTTCACAAGTACTTGTGCCTTGTTAGCATAGACTTACAATCGGTATTTTAGCTTGTTTAAAAGACATATAAATATTTTAAAAGTCTGATTTGATTAAGTACTTATTGTATATATATTTTCTAGAGATAAAGTTTTATGTATGTCTACTTATTTTTAGCAGTATTAATCGCAGTTTATATAAACACTAAATTGTTTGAAGAGGTTGCTTTGAGCTAACACTCTCTCTAAGCTTCCTCTACAGTGCTGCAAATTAAATGTCAGAAGCTTAATTTTGCTGTTCGAGTAGTGGCTGGTAGACTGAAGAGCCTGCCCTGTTCTTTGTGTTGCGTGGGTCAGACTCAAATTTTCACTTAAAAAAATCACTACAGTGTAACTTTTAGTAATGCTACCTCCTTTCTGTCAAAGTATTGAGTTTTACTCCAGTTGTTCCTTATCTTTGGGAAGGGATGGGGGAACATTTCAGTTTTGTTTTGCTACATCAGTTTTGGTGTCTGAATACATGATGAAGAGTTTTTACTGACTGTATAAATTACATACAGTAGAAGTTTGTAATTTGCCACAATGTACATTATGTATTATTCGTACCTAAGTTGCTGAAATTCATACTGTTGTCTTTTTATCTATTTCATAACTTGTCTTTGTTGACAAAGCAAAACTGTCATCTGCAGAAGTTCTAGTGTGTGCCATTTTCATAGCTAAGCCTGTGGTAAATATGAAAGTTCTGACTCAGGGCTTTTTAACAACTTAAACGCATTCGCAATATTCTTCAGCACATCTTGAAGAGTATTAGAGACGTAATGACTGTACAGTGCCTTGATAGAACTATTGAATGGGCAGTAGCCATAGAGTCTTTACAAAATGCAAATATCTTTTGAATTCAACTAGTGAGCTTGTTAATATACCTGTAGTACACTGCCATATATTTACATACTTGTATTTCTGTAAAGCAAAATTAGCAGATTTAGCTTTTGTTAAGCTTTTTGTAAGTTGTGCTTGATTATTGCTGCAGTCACGGGGGTCTGAGGGGCACAGTATTCAAATTTACAGAAGCAGCATTTGTGGGAAAGTAAGTTGATAAAATGTTCTGTATATGGCATTTTCAGTGTGAGGGGAGATGACGTTTAATAAACAATTGCCATTTTTAAAAAGCTGCTTTATTCTGACCTAGAAAGTCTTTTATAAGAAGGAAAAAATAATCAGCAGCAGATCTGTCTGTTTGCATGCCATTTCATAATTATGAATATTTGTCTCATTTTGAGCTTCTAGGAAGTACTTTCTTTGTCCAAGTTTAGTGTCTTTATGAATACAAAATAATCATATTAGAAAACACATTTTAGTGAACCACAACAACATTTTTGCTTCTGTTTTAACAAAAAAAAAAAAACCTTTGTATTTTTAGTAAATTGTAGATTTTTGACATGTCTGTTTATTGGCAAATTTAAGGTTATCTGTGTGAGTGTAGTGGATTTCTGTATGCAGATAGCATTACATAATTGCTTTTATTAAAACTGCTTAGCGAAGTCTAAGCTTTTCAAAAGAAATGTTAATGTACTGTGTGGTTAATAAAACTTATTATATAAGATGTGTTCCGACTTTTGCAAAAGCTTTGATGTAAAGGGTTATCTGACTGAATTAATACTGGATTTTTCTGTGTATACATCACTGGGAAGAGGGTGGCTGCTCATTCGATTAGATCCTTTTTCGTTGTAGTGATGTTAGGTGTCACCATAGATTTAGGAAATAGTATACCTGAACAAATGTTTAGTAACTGTGTTGGTCATTGATTTGTGGTATTTCAGAGCACACAGACTTTATGGAGAAAGCTTTCAATCTAAACTTCAAAGAGTTCTGCTTCTTTACAATTTATCCCTGAAGACTGAAATTGTAACAAGATGCGAAACGGTAGGTGCTTTGAAAGTTCCACATGCTCAAATAATGCTTAGCCACACAGCAGCAGAAGCATACTTCTGCACAAGGGCAGATTATGAGGTACCAGGACAAGGTTTGAGTTTGTTTGTGTTGTTTTTTTTTTAAATGTGCGAAGTTTTCTGTAAATATGCAGCTCATTATATTGGTGAGAGCTGCTGTGAAGTACGTAGTAGATTCTCCTGTTTGCTTAAAACTCAATGGCCTTTACAGATCTGGCTCCGTGAATGTGACCACTTAAAAATCTTCTGTGGTAACTATCACGTTCTGAGACAGCGATTCCTGCATCATAGTTCACGCTTTGAGTTCAATTTAATGGAAGCATTTAAAAAAATACGTAACTATAAAGGCAATGAAACCAACCAGACTTAAAACGTAGTGTTTTAATTTATCCTAGTGTGCAGGTGAAAAATGAAATGGTGAAATAAAAATTTTGTTGCTTTTTCCTCAGTTTCCCTCCTTCCCCTCCCCCCCCCCCCCCAAAAAAAAAAATTAATAATAGTAATACACACTGGAGCCTAGCTGGCATATTATTGCTCACATGCACTCATTCCTTCCTTGTAAGTAGATTATATTTCATAAGAGTACATTTGAGTTATGAGAAGATGCGACAAACTGCTTACATTTGGAAGGTGAGGCGGAATTAGCTATAACATGCATTTACTTCTGAAAACTTAAAGAAGCTCCCCTCCCTTAACTTTGTCTAGTAGACAGTTGCTTGGACTGGAGGAGGTAAGAAACTTACATTTCACCTTTCATAGATGCTGTTAAGTTTACCTTGTAGTTCTTGCTGTCTCTCCGTGCTGTTTTCAGCTCCGTTGTTGCAGATAATTGTTTGAAATTAGATTGCCCCTCATCTTACAAAAGGAAACAAAGGACTTGCAAAGTAAACTAAGATTAATTGTGTGTGTGTGTGTGTGTTTTTTTTTTTTTTAAACATGAAACCATACTGTTACTACACTGCCTTTTAGAGTCCTGATGAATCAGTTCTTTGACCTGTCTTCAGCTGAATTCATAAATTATCCCCCTTCCAAACAAGGGATATAGTATTGGTTTCCAGTTTTCAGCTGCTATTAGCCATAAGTAATTGAGACTTTCCTAGAGGGAAATAGAGTAGCTAAGGGAACAAAGGAGCTATTAGATCTTCCTTTTTGCTCAAATTAGCTCAGGTGAGTACATGCTGCAAGATCTTGGTAGAGAAACTGTAACCTTGGTTTATATGACAGATCTATATGACAACATAGGATTTTCAGTGAGGTGGGTTTTTTACGTTTTTGTTTGAAACAAATTGCAAATTGTCAAAATGTATGTTTCAGATATCATCCACTTGTTCTTTGTGAATTACAAGCCATTCACGTGCTTCTGTGTACCTATACTATAGAAAATGATGGTAACAACTTTAGCACATAGACTTAAGACCGTCTCTGCAGTCTATAGGGTCCTTAGCGTTTCAGCTCCTAATGTTGGTCACAATGGAAGCTGCTGTCTCTTTGCTGATGTTTAATACTGATGTCTTTAAATTCTGAGAAGGCCGCTTCATACTGATAAGGATGGGAAGACTCCGAAGAAAGGGCTGTGTAACCTCTCAGTAATGTACCTTGCTGCTGTAATTCCAGCTATATATCCAATCTCTGGCATCTGTTTGAGACAAGAATGATGATAACACCTTCATGGAAATTTCCTTCAGAATTGGCGTCTAGTAAATCACAGTCTGGTGGTTCTTGCATGTATTCAGTGTTTTATTCAGGGAAGAAATATAAGCAGTTGCATTAGAGTAAAAAGAGGCAGCATTCCTTTTTAGACTTGTTTTCCCACAATGTGGAAAGGTAACTTCAGCTAACTAGGAGCAATATTGTTGAAGATCTTATTTTCATGCTTTTTGCAACCCATTTCAAGTCAACAAAGCAGCATGCATTGGAAAGTTCTTGTTTTAAAGAATGAAACCTGTATACCGGTGGGTATGTTACTGGTGTTTATAGGAAGTTTTTGGCCGGAAGCTGCTTAAGGGGTTTTAAGTATTCTATTCTTTTGGCAGTGTGTGTGTGTGTGTTATGTCCTGGTCTTCTGCATGTTCAAAACTTCTTTTAAAAAGCAATCTTTTTAGAGAGTAATGTTATGATACATTGAAATAGTTTAAATTGTGTTAGAAATGAAGAACTGTACCAGCTGATAATGTCAGGAATTTATTCCATTACATTGCAAGACTTCAAATTAAAAAATTTAGTGCAAAATGTGCTTCTTACAGTTAGCATTTGTTGAGGCTTGATTGACTATCCTAGATAAGCTAATACAAAATGTAATATATGAAAAATTGCCAAAACCCAGGAAAACTCACGAGAAATATACTGACACCCGCCCATCCCACACGCTATGGCAGTATTCCACAGCATTTTTTAAAAATAAATCTGAAGGTGGTAAGCAAACAAATCTGAGCTGATTGACCAAGTGACACTTTGCATCCTAAAATGTATGAATGTTTCTTCCACAAGGGGTCAGTAGCACACTCCATTTGTGGCAAGATTTTTTTTTTTGGTAAAATAAGCACAAAGCAAACAAGGGATAAGGATAATGATGATTGCATTAATATGTGGGTGGACCAGACCTCACTTGTCCCCTTCTTCAAGCAGGCTAAGTATAATTTGCTTATTTGCTGACTTCAGTAAGCACCCATATTCTATCCTCTGACTCTCATGTGACATGAACATTGCTACTATTGATTAGGGCAAAGTTCCAGTGGAGTGTTTACCTTTAGCTCTAGTTGAAAGTATTCATTTAGTCTAGCTTTTTTTTCAAAAGCATGCAGTTGGAGCAGATAAACTGTATGAGAGAGCTTGTCCGGTGGGTAGGGGAAAAGAATTCTTCTATGAGTGTCCCACATATTCTTGATGGTAACCACAGCCTCCCTAGATGGCTAGAGCTGATTAATATTTTCCACCCTATAGTAACACAGCTTATAGTTAAATATGCTTTGAACCCTCTCAGCATAGTCAGTGGAAGGAATGTCCAAGTTCTCAAGGCTTCCCTGAGTATGCAAGCTACTTGGAGACAGGAGTTGAAGTAACTCATTATCTTCCTACCAAGAGGTTGAATAGACCAAACAGCTATTCCCCAGAGAGAAATTTCCAAAGCTTGTATCAAAGTCATGTGTTGCAAATAGATATTTAAGCATAGTTCATGTCTTTTAGGTTGGCACAGAGGTCTATTTGACTCTTGCCCCTGCGCTCAGTGAATTAACAAGGGACCTTCCTTACCTTCGTGTTTGTAACTCTCTTGTTTCTCATCTCTTGGTTTTTGTTTCACCTCTTCAGTGCTTCTGTCTCTAACCACTCAAGTCTTCCATTTCAGTTCTTTCTATAAATCTGTTTTTAATAGCAGAACGTTGTGTCCCTTCCTTCTTGAGGCAGTTCTTTCCTTGGCTCATTAACATTAATCTCCATTACACTGAGGTTGGCAGAGTGCCTTGGCATTTAAAACAGTGGGGCCCTATCCTTGTGTCTGACTTCACTCTTAATCGCGTATACTGAAAGGAGGAATACCCGAATTCAGTCTTAGTGAAATTTCACACTACTTTATCAACACCCCTTATTTCTCAATATTGACAGTAAAACAAAGAGTTTGTGGCTACCATGTGAGAAAAGGGTAGAGGTGCTTCTTCTGATTTAGTTGCAGCTGTTCTCAGCCCTATGAGGAGGATCGGGTAGAAGTAAATGTCTGTCTTTTTTTTTTTTCTCTCCATAGGCTACCTGAAATTTCAATTGTTGCTGTACCTCAAGTTCAGTTTTTGATGACAGCTTAAGGTATTTCCCCAAGAAGCTCAGTGTGGATGGAAGTTAAGTCTCTTCTCTTCCAGTGTGCTTTGCCCACTTAAGTCTCCCAAAAGTCTGTTCAGTTCAGTAGGATCAGTTACATGAGCATGGATTGTTTGCAAAGAGAAGGGCTGTGTTATTACTTCTGTAATCCCTACTGTTTGCAAGGTGTCTTGTGATATTCTGTGTGAAAGCTATATAAAATAAATAGCAATTATACAGCATGCATTTCCTAATGGACGCATCATATAGCGTGTTGGCTCTGAAACACAATGCTATCGTTCTTCCTTTCTTCCTCCTTTACGATGAGACTTGTAAAATAAAGACCACTTCAGATCTATGTAGGCAAAACTGCTTTTCCTAACACAAAGGGCTTAACTAAGCTGTTTCTAGTACCACCTTACAGTTCAAAGCATCAAGCCCAAGGCTTTTGACTGTAGTTGCTTAATCTATAGCACAGGGCACTTAAAGCACCTAATTCCTATTATTCTTAGTTTAGTCAGGAGATTCAAATTCTATTTAAGTGTGAGGGATCTTCATGTAACAGTTATCCTCGGAAAGGGTATTCTCCCACTACTTCACGTAAAGGGCATAGTGTTTGAAAGCAAGCTATACTTATCATCTTGTTGGTATAGAAAAGTATGTTAGAATAAGGGGATGGGCAAGCCTAAAACTCTTTCTGCAGTCTTAAGCCTAATTCTCAGGAATTTTGTCATGTGAGACACTTGAGTGGAAAATTAATTTGTGACCAGTTATCTCTCAAAGAGTCCTAAATTCGTGTCTCTTCTCCTGTGAGTTTCTCTCA